CCATATAAAGTCAGCGTGCAGGATGGTTTTTCTTCTTGTGTTCAACATTGCTTTTAGAATGGTTGGGGTTCTTTTTTAATTTGGGGGGGGGGGGCGCTTAGTAGGATTGGAAATCTTCAGGTGGTGGGAATAGGTGGAAAATGCTGCACCCTTGGCAAAACTGCCCGCGTACGCCTCCCGGCGTTTGTTCAGGTGCCAGTGTCAGCAGCCCCCCGGGCGACAGAGCCCCCAACCTGTCCAGAAAGGGTGACTCAGGACTCCGTTACCGTAGGGCCAGTGTAACCTGCTGCTGAAAAATACTTTCTGGACTAACTCATGGCCCAAAATCTACTAATATGATGTACTGTAAAAGAAGAACAAACTACATTAGAACGTATGATGAAGGAAGGCTGTTGCTCAGCAGACTAACCAACGCTTTCACTACAAAGTGGATCCAGCTCATTTATAGGTTGTGCATCCTGACCCAGATCTGTTCATTTGTAAACAGCTCCCCAACCCAAAAACCTTCTTCCCTATTTTTGTCAAATGAAATAGCAGCCCAGGAACCAGGGACGCCTGCTTCTACTTGAGGTTTATAAAAACAGCAGCAGAAGCGTGTTGCTAACAGAAAACTGACAGATGCTTATCATTACGTAGATTTTTCTTCTGCGTTCAAGTATCATAAACTGAATTGCATCTACTAGCATTTGAAAAGTATTTAAGACCACTTATGTCTTCAGCCAGCCACTTCCTCCAGCTGGGTGAAGCTCACATGAACTACAACAACTGCAACACGTAACAGACCATAATCCTCCGTGTAACTGCTTTTATGCCTTAGACCACGTTTTTATTTGTTTTAAATGGTGAGTAAAATGTCACTGAACAATTTTTGCTTTAATGAAAAATCAGGAGGTTTTTGGGTTCACATCTAGGATTGCTCACGGTGAGCTTAGTCCAAAGATCCTTGAAGTTGGTGAGTGTTAGTGGATTTGGGATTGAAGACTTGAGAAAAGTGATTGTCAGTGATTTCTCTTTTGCCAGTAGTAATAAACTTAATTCTGATCCTAGTATGAACTGACAAAAACATATCTGGAAGCTGTGAGAAAAAACAGGTTATCTCATGAAGCAGGCAATGTCACGAAACCAAACACGCAAATGACATTGTTGTGCTGCTCACCACATTCTCTTTCACAAAATACTTTTTTCTTTGCAAAAATAAAGTAATTTTTACACAGAGCTACATAAAAACACTGCCCATACATGAGCAACGTGGGGGGGGGGGGGGGGGGGGGGGGGGGGGGAAGGAGGGGTAGGGGGTAGGTGTTTTTTGGTAAAAAAATTCCAATTTGTTGAAGCTGGTGCTGCTTACACGAAAGGGCTGTTCCTAGCAGATAATAATCCTGATTATCTCCCAAGAGTGTTTTGGTTTTCTTTAAAGTTTCAAATCAAGTCTCTTTGAGATTCAGAGCAAGTTTTTATGTCTGTTGGTGTGGTAACTATTTCACTGTGTCTTACCATTTAGGAGGAGAAGCTTGGACAGCTTTCGTTTTGACACGGCTTACGTGTTGGCAGTGATGAGTGTGTCGCAGTTGGGGTGACCCTGCTGTGAATGTTTTGTACTGGGGTGGGTAGCAAGGTGCAGCTGCTTATGGGAAGCTGATGCTGCTTAAATCTAATACTATTCAAGTGATCGTACTCTAAAACAGACTCGTTCTGTATTTAATTTTAGATGGCAAGCAGAAGAAGAGTTCAGTGTGCTTTTTTTTCTGAAATGTTTTAATTCTCCACATTTTTTCAGAAAAGGTTTTAATTCTCAACATTTTTCCTTCGTCTGCAACTTCTCTTCCTTCCCCACTCTTCCCCTGGCTGGGGTTACAAATAAACCTACACGTTTAATATATGCCATTCAGTTGGTGCCAGCAGCCTGATGGATGATAGGGTATACCTTTGTATGCTTATAGCCAACTCTTCATAACCAAAGCAAATCAAAATGTTTTATGATAAATGCCTTCTGATAAAAGAACTATTTATGAAGGCAGACTTGTCCGAAGAAGGGCACCTTTCAGTGAATAGTCAGATGGCTACTTCCAGGTTTTCGTTTTTCCTAAGCACAGAAACTTGGGAAGACAAGCTCTTTTCCATCAGTAATTCTGGTCAGACAAACCTTCTGTCACCTCTTTGATTTACTACACTAATTGCAAAAGAAACCAAAATTGGTGTGGTGAAGCCTACATTCATTTATTTTGCACCTCCTATGCTGCATTCTCCGGGGTCAGCAAAGCTTTTCTGAAAAGTGATGGTCAGAATTTGGTGATAAGTACTTCAAGAAAAGGGAATATTCCTACTACATGCTTAGGTAGAATGACAATCACGAAGGCTAAAACCGAGTTCTGTACAGACCCCTGACTGAGTACAAAGAAAGAGTGAATAATCTTTGGTTTTCTCTGCAAGTCATGTCCAGCCCTCGCCCCCAGTTACGCAGCAAAAAATGTTCCCTTCCCCTCTCCTTCCCCGCCTCGCTCTATCCCCAAATGTCTCATCTCCGCTGTGACTAGAGAAACGGGGCACGCTTTGCATCTTCTAAAATCAAGCAAAAAGCATCCCCTGGAAAGGTTTCAAGCTTTCTACCAGCCAGCCCCCAAAGTTCAGAAGGCTGTGCGAGGCTAGAGACGTGGTAAACGGCGCCTCTGCCTCAGACTTAGCTAGGTGCCCCTTTCCCTGGCCCTCTGGCTAGTTTTTGCCACGCGTGCTCTCAGCGGAGGGCCCGGACTACTCTCCTTTTCACGTGTATGAAAGCAGCTGCCTGCAGTCCGGTCTTATAGGGGGGAAGTTTTACTGTGGGTTAAAAGTGTCACTGCGGCCGCGTAGGCGGACCTGCCGCTCCCCACATCTGCCCCTCCAGCCCTTCCTCCCTTTTTTTTCCTAGAGCCAGCACAGGCTTTTTTTTTTTTTTTTTTAATTTTTTATTTTTATTTTTTTAATTTAGTTACTTTGCAAAGTGGGCTAAAGAATTCACCCGGGTCATTTTAACCCGGGTTGTTCCCCCCGCCCGCTGTGCCGGGGGAGGGAGGCGCTGGGGCCGCATCCAGGAGCCCCGCACCAGGGCCGCAGGGGGCTCAGCCCCCTTTGGCAGCGCTGGATGCTGGCCCCGGCCTTTCAGGCATTCACGGGGCCAGCAGCACGGAGTGCAGGGTTTCCCTTATTTGTCACTTCTCTGGGGGAATTGTTAAATCAGTCTCTTGGTGTAGAAGAAAATAATGAGCTGATCCGGAGTCGAGGTGCTATCGGATTGTTTCGGGCCCAGCTCGTCTCTTAAGCTCCTAACTTCTCTGCATGCAGATGTTATCCAATTAGTTCAGAGGCAGAAGTAGAGTTTCTAGACTTGATTTTTTCTTTCCAGGCCAAATGCCTGGAAGCTAGGGAGGGAAATGGATGGCACTGGAATAATAACCACCTTCCCTGAGTTTGAGCAAAGCAGTTAAGAACCATCTTTTTTTTTCAGTGTTTTCACAAATTCTGCCAAGCTGTACAAAAGGTGTTGGGGGAGGAGGGGGTGTGGGTTTGTTTTTTTTTTTTTTTTTTCCTTCTTCCTTGATATTCCCAGGGTTTTTTCTCAACCACTAAACAAAGAAAACAAGCAGAGAACATGACACTTTGGTTTGCAGCTTTGTGATTAAAAATGTCTGTTCCTAAAATCTTTCACAACAACCTCTTCTGATTTGTAATAAATTTTTTTTTTCCTTCTTTTCTCCCCACCCTGAACTCTCCACCCAAAATGAAGTCTCAGCCTTCTGAGATCAGAGGTCTGCTTGCTAACTGGGGTTTAGAGGAGTGTAATCCAGTTGCCGTCTTTTGAAGAAGATTCATTGGGTTATTCCTTAATAGAAATTTTATTTTCTTAGCTACTCTTCCTGTAACAGCGACCAGTAAAAGTAATTTGTCAGTAGAAGCCGTTCCCCCTTGCTTTCCTGTGGGTGCCTACAGCAAAGATCTGCTGCCTGTGCAGCGGAGGCGGGTTTCCGTGAGCAGAAACGCGGGGCTCCGAGTCGTCTTGGGTAGAGCTGTGAAGTGACTCACCCGGCAGGAACTTCACAGATGCCTCTCGTGGAAAATTCAGCCACATATTTGGGGGGGGGGGAATGAGAGTTTAAAGCGGCTCCGGTTCAGTCTGGCTTCACGGAGGTGGACGCTTGGGCACTGAAAGGTGCGTGCTTCTCCATTTGCTGTACAGTTACCACCCGTAAACCTGAGCACCAGCCGAATCTTAGCTCCTCCATCTTCTTGGATTTTACAAACTATAGATGTCTTAACATCGTTGTTAGTCTGTGCTCTGTGAGTTGCTCTTTCAAAGATTTTGCCTCAAGGAAAAATAAGGGGCAGCTGTCATTTGAAATTTACTCAGGATTGGCGAAATGATGGCATTTGTCCCTTCTGCTCTCCATCTTCTTCAGACTTGCCCTAGCGTGCGTCGAACTGGATATTGCGCTGACTTACTACTTCTCCTTCTTTGTTCTTCTACAGAACACAGAGTAATCAATATAGTCTAAAAATGTACTGTGGCACAAACCAGTTTTTTATTTCTTTGTGTAGTTTTCAAGCACGGAGGCTGTTGGGACCCTTACATGCATTATATTTTAAAATCAGTTTGCTAAAGCAAAAGCATGAAGAGATACTGGATTGACCAATTTTTTAGGGCTGGATCTAAAATAATTGGCACACTTGCTGTGTGCTGCTGCGTGCTTCATGTTGTTGACCTCATCTCTCTGAAGTCTGAGTAGCTGTCGTGTCTGTGACAGTGATGTGTCTGAGCGGTCTGAGGGAGTCCTGCAATTATTTTAATATTTTGCATAATACCGGTGGAATTTAATAAGTAGTTGTGGAGGTTCAAATCCAATTACCTCCTTCCTTAGAACATGGTAGAAGTTTGGTGATAAATGCTAGCAGAGTGAGGAAGAAGTCTAATGTAATTTGTGGTGTTCCAGTCACTAATTTTTTCTTACCCTTTCTCCCTTGTTTTCCAGGGCATGCTTTCAAGCCATTTTTGAGGAAATGTGGTGAATGTAAACTTGATCTGTTTGGGGGGGAAATTCTGGTAAGTGATGCTGTCTTGATCAATTTTGGTTTTCAATGAGAATTTCCAAAAGACTGTTTTAGCTTTTTTCAGGGTTTTTTGGTTTTTTTTTTTTTTTTTAGCTGATGGGAAATACAGAGACATCGTTGATTATATGTGTTTTTCTTCCTCTGGTATGGAGAATCACAGTATGAGAAGCACTGACAAAAAACAGCATGCTAGGCCTCAGGGTGAGGAATGTAGTTTCATTTGCTCCAGTGGCATCTGCTTATTGTGTTTCTAGCTGTTGTATTCTGGTGAAGAGTGGCTGAGGCGAAACCTAGAGTAGAGGAAACACAAAGACCTAATTTAAAAAGAAGGGGAACAAAAAAAATATGCTAGTGGTATTAAAAAAAAAAAAAAAAAAAAAAAAATCAGGAGCAAAAAGAACGTCCAAAGTGCAGGGGATGTCCAGTCACTCTGAAATCTTTCCCCCCATCCCCAGCATGTCTGACGGGCACGCTGGCCACGTGGAGGTGGGATGATGTGCCCATGCCTGAGAGATAAGGAGGTGGTTAGTGCTCCTCTGTGCTGTACCAGTTCTCCCGTTCCTCCCTTCCTCCTCCATGCCACAAGCTTTGCTGCTTCTCTGGCTCTCGGGGGTACCAGCTTCCCACCGGCTTCTGGTCCCGCAGGTGCTGCGGCTTGTCGTGCGCGATGTGTCTGTGCTGCCGAGCGGCCCCGCGCTGGGACAGTCAGGCAGAGAGGGACAGGAGGTAATTGGTGACGTGCCCCAGCTGGAGGGAAGGAGTTCTGAGAAACTTCCAAACTGCGAAAAAAAAAAAAAAGCAGCAGATCTGCAGCAGTTTGTAGGCTCATCTCGCTTTTCCCTCTAGGAGACTGTCAATATATACAGTCCTGGCAGGTGCCAATCACCCTTGGGAAAAAGGTGTTTGCAGGAGATGGGTCCCTCCTTTGCCCCTTGACTGAGCACAGTACAGGGCTGGTATTTTTCCTTCAGCCAGCATGTGCAGATTGCAGATGAAAACTGGCTTATTCTCCACTGGCAGAAGACTTCGGAGTCATATAGCCTGCAGGGTAGAAAACTGAAAATCAAAGACCAGCTCTGTGAGAACACTTGTTCTTTTCTGCCATTTAAAAAACCCCAGATGTTGTTACATCATACAGGAAGATCTGGATTAGCTAGCAGATGTTTAAATGTAGACCGTTTAGCCTTCTGCGGAATGTATAGTCCTAAAGATACGAAAAGATAAGATAACCAAGATCAGAATTTTACAAAAAAAGTTGGCCAAATGCACGAAAAGTCATGTGCAATGGTACCTGGGTAAACCCTACTGTAGCTTATTCTTTTAAGTAATTTTCTCGCTACGGTTTGGCTTTTCTGACAGTTGCCCATGTTGTAAGCTTGCACCTGTATCTGTATACTGGAAAATACAATTATTTAACTAGAATTTAGTTGCAAAGCCAAAGATGAGCCACAGACCAGTACCATGAGCTCATTAGCCCATGAGATTTTGTGCTGACTTCTGTTACTGCAAAAGAGGATAGGACCTGTATCTAGTTTTCTTTTTTGGTGGTAGTAACGATACTTTGATCCTAAAAGCTGTCCAGTGTCCTTACAGATTGGCTGGTCTTTGTGTGGGGTGTGACAAAGCTGTGGTGCTCACAGGTCAAGGAGTAGGGTCAGAATTCAGAAAGAGCGATGCGGTGTAACACCAAGGAAAAAAAAAAGTTTATCGGCAGACTTAGTAGTCAGATTGTTGTGTTTTAATTTCCCTTCGAGGATGCATCAGCTCGTCTCCGTGGCTGGTCTTAATAAAAGAACATAGTTCAAGAGTGGCAAGAGGAAGGAGACCGAAGAAGCATGTTTCTTAGAATCACAGAATGATTTTCGTTGGAAGAAACTGCCAGATGTCGTATTGTCCGAACCCCCACTTGAAACGGGTCCTGTTAGGCCACGTTGCTCAGGGCCTTGATTTTCAAAGTTCACCGGATGGAAACTCCACAGCCTCTCTGGGCACCTCAGAGTGACAAAGTGCTTCCTTGCTATTTCTCGTTGATGTTCCTCACAGTCGGTCAGTGTGGACTTTGCATCTGCTCTGCCTGTAAGAGGGGAGTCTTGGAGAAGACCCCCCCCAAATGTGGTGTCACACAGGCGCAGTGAACCTGCCGGGGGGGGGAATCCCACACTCTGGGTCATGGCGGTTCTACCCGGGTGATGTTTCTCGACCTTTCTCTGGTTCGTGTTGGGATTTGCAGGGCGTGGATGCAGGACTTGGCTGAATCTCAAAACCTGGGAGAAGGCTAGCTGACAGGGTGGTGTTCCTGAAAACTACCTGTCTTCCTGACTTGCTTAGAGATATATAAACCAATGCAAAGAGGCGCTTCTCACCGCTGGATTGTAAGCAACCTGGAAGTCCTTCAAGCCAGTCTGGAGCTGGGTTTCTACCACTCCACGCTGCACGATTTTGCCCTAGAATTTAATACTGTTTTCCTGCAGACATTGTAATATGTAAACAAACTGCAAATTTTGTTTGTTTTCACAGCTGTTCCTTCCCCTCTTCCCACTTCAGACTGTTTGCAAATCCTTATTTTGAGGTAGAATAATTGGGAATCTTGAGCTTCTCATCTGTAAAGATCTCTGAAATATCTCTGACCGCACTGTAGGCTTGCCTATAGCATTCCGAATTCTCATGGAGTTTAAAAATTTTTAAAAAATAGCAAAAAAATGAAACAATTTTTCTCAATTTCTGTCCCTAGCCCACTGAATCCAAGAAGGGCTGGACATCAAGAGAACATTTTGAATCTATCTTGACGTAGCAGCAGAGCTCAGAGGCTCAGCAGTTATTTATTCGTCTTGTATCAAAGTCCTAGAAAAGGTCACGCAGCCTCCAGATCAAAAATTCATAGTGGTTTTGGGAGCTGATTAGAGAAGTACACCTGAATGCGGGGGGGAAACCTTGGCTGAATTTAAAACTCCCTCAGCTGAGCTGATGATATCTTTCTGAGCTGTGTCAGAAAAAAACCTCTTTGGATGAGATTTCTGTCAAGCAGTCGTGTGGGTGCCGGAGCAGGTATTTGCGTGGCACCACAGGCTTGGTGCACTGGCCGTCCCGCCACGTCAAATACTTGCACGACCGCGGGGAGCCCCACGAAGCAAGGCTGGCGTAGGACGGAAAGCCTCGGGGGCACCTGCGATTTATTTTTTTCCCTAGTCAGACTGCTCTTCGCCCATCCAGACACTCCCCGAAACTCTCGCCTTTCCTAAGGTTTTTGTATTTCTAAACATGACTTACGCTGTACAGTACGGTGTTCTGTCCCTTTCCATCTGGCCTTGGCTACAGCCATCACGACCAGAGGAGGATCGAGGTGTGAAATTATTTTAATAGAGTGTCTGCTGCACCGTAAACCTGACCTGCACCTTCCCACGCCGGGTGTGCCCATCCTTTTCCTATAGATTTATTCTTCCCGGGAAAGCCGTGAATGCTTCAAACACCGGCCTCGCAGCCGGACATACACCTCACGGCATGGAAGCCCGTTGCTCTTTTCACTCTGGATTCAGGCAGGGGAACCTTCCCAAGCTCAGGGCTCTCTGGCGTTTCAGCTGGAATCTGAGATGCTGCGCTTCTATCTGCACACTTCTCTGTAGGTTAGAAGCAACTGCACGTCTTAAGCAATGGTTTCAGCTATTTCTAGTTCCTCAGATATATTGTGGAAAAGTTGGATTTCAGCTGCTAAGACACTCATCCGGTGTTCGGTTTTGGTTATTTTTTCCCATTAAGGACAGTCAGATTTTTCTTTTCCCTTTATTAAAAAAAAAAAAAAAAAAAAAAAAAAAAGAAAGAATGTTAGCAGGTAGTACCTGCTTTGATTTTAAGAAATGATATAAAACCACTTTTTCAGTATCTTTATGCATATTAAATTTGTTTGCCTTTAGAAAGATTGTAATGCTCTGTGCGTTCCTGGGTGTCCAGTTTATATGACACAATTATTTACATCCGCGATGTTTACTAAACATGCTGTTGAATTTCTCTCTGCGATCCTTCACACTGGTTAGATTTCTGACATAAAGTGTTGTAGAGCAATTACGTATTATCTGCAAAGAGCTTGGAATATACGCTCTCACTGCAAAAATAACCTGCTGTAACTTTTATTACCTGTGCTCTGCTGTGCCCACAGGAGGCTTTGCCAGAATCATTAGCTGGTCTCTGTAATTAGGGCTGACCTGGTGCATTTTGGTCCTATTTCTAGTAGGTTTTAGTTTCCAGAGTCATCAGTTTGGACACTGATGTGTCTCATAATGTGCTTCTCTTGTGTATCTTCATTATCTCTTCCTATGGACTGAAGGTTATAATGCGTCCTTAGGAAGGAAAGCGTGTGGGAAAGGTTGAGCGTTGTAAAGTATCTTGGTCTTTACCAAGATTTGCTATGCTATGCTTGTAATTCCTCCAATTTTAGCCTGTTAATTTTCTTCCAGTCCAGTCTGTGCAAAAGATGTGCGTATTGGTGCCGCCGCGTCTGGTGAATGTTAAATCTGATCCATAGGATTTCTAAGAACTGCGTCTTGTCCCCTGCCCAGAACTGCACGTCTCCCCGTCCTGACCAGGTTGGACTTGGTCTGCTCCCTTAAGAGATGTGAAGCATTGCTATATTTGTTTTCAATTTATTAAATCAGATAACCCTACGTAGGGAGGTTACATTCCACTCTCCCGCAGAAGAGACCTTTGTGCTCCTGTCATTTTCCCAAGTGTTTTCCTACCTCTCACTGGTAATCCATTTAGTATAGCTTTTCTTTTTTCTTTTTTCTTTTTTTTTTTTTTCTCATGAGATTGAGGTGATCCAATTGTTCGAATTTCTCAGCAAAAGAGAGCTGGTCTGTGGGCCATCCACTGGGATGTTCCTCTTGCTGGAGCCGCTGGAGAAGAAATAGGGGAGGAGAGCTGACAGCCGGTGCCGCAGGGCACCGCACGAGCTGTACCTCCCAGCTGTCCTAGCTGGCTCGGTGGCAGAGATGTTTGCAA